TGACACGCTGCAGTCGGATCATCCTTTCATTTTTTTCCTTTGGTTTTTCTGCTCAAAAGCTCTTTCACTGTGTTTATAAACGCATGAAGATGCGTGACTTAATATCATGCAACAGTGCATAGTGAAGGCATGTCTACATACATGTGCCTGAGAGCGAGCTTAATATTTACTCATCCAGATGGTTCCAAGAGTCTTTGAGGATTCGGTGAAATACCTTTAAGAGCTATTAAATGACCTTCTGGGTTTTTCAAAGATCACTGGTCATTTATTTTTCAGAAAAAACCAGATGCTCAGCCGTGTGACTCAAATGTAATATTGATACAGAAGAGGCACGAACGAGGGCTAGAATACACCAAGGGCCAAAGTAAACAGTGCATCAGAAATCTCAGCACAAGGAAACCGCCAAACACCATTTCCTCTTGATAATCAAAATAAATATTAGAGTGAGTTCTCCAAGTTTGTAGCTTCATCCTTATCTTCCTTTTCCATCAGCATTAAGTGTGCAGTAACATCATCAATATACACACATGCAACCTGTTTAAGTGACCATACATAAAGACACCGTACATCGTGAACAGACACACAAAAAAAGATCATCTTCCTGTAACAGCAGCTGACATGATTAACTTTTGATTAAGTTTCATATTTAATAGTATTATAATGCTGGGGGATTTCATTGTTTTGTTGTGTAGGAAAAAAACAAGAAAATCTGATTTAACAGAAGAAATTAATTAACAGGCTAACACAGATCCTGTTCTATGTTTAGTCTCCACAGACCAGAGTCTGCAGGAAATAAACCGGCCTTTAAACAGACACTCACATCCACTGCAGCAGAATGACGCAATGAAGGAGTTTTATGAATCTTTAGACTCTTCCCACTACAATAAAATAAATTCGATTTCTCAGTGGTTTTCAGATTTTTTAAATTCTGGACAGAGAATTTAAGGCAACATGATGCTTATAGATACCAGCTTCTTTTAGTTTATTACGAAAGATGTGACAGGATGAAAAACCTGCCACAGACGTAAAGAACATTGCATGTCTTGATCACTTGGAAGAGCATTCTGCTTCGACTGGCACAGACATGGATGACCTTAGGCTCTGTGTGTCAGAGAGAGAGAGTGTGTGTGTGTGTGTGTGTGTGTGTGTGTGTGTGTGTGTGT